TGGTGTTGTTTGTTTCTAGGTCACATGTGTGTAGTTCTCCCATGACGTCGGCTTATTCTTGTTTTCCCACTTGTATCTAGACTGTCTTGTTTGTTTAATGAGTATTTCTATCGTTTCATTAAAAAAAGCAATTAGACAAACAATGCTACTGGTTGACAAATGGTGATATTTTATATTGAATAGGCAAATAGTAGTTGCTTAAAAAGCAAAAAAAGTTGAATTTAAAAAAGTTGTTTTGGTTAATTTTTATTGAGATTTTGTGTTTGTATTAACATAATATATAAAATATAATGATTAAAGTTGATTTGATTTAAAAATAGTAGAGAGGTGATTGAAAGTGATAAATAGTTAAAATTATGTGAGTGAATGAATAGTAAATTAAAGTTGATATAATGTGTGAGGATCACTAATTAATATTATTTAATTACATTAATAATATTAAAAATAACGAGATTGAATTAAAGTTAAGTTAAATTTGTAATTATAATTGATTTTTTTATATGTATCTATATCACTCACGCCTTAAGAGGGCGATTGTGTATAGTTTCAATAGTAAAAAAATCAATCAAAACTCAAATTTAACCCAACTTTAATACAACTCCACTATTTTCAATATTATCAATATCTATATATATATAATTGCTAGCTAATCCCATTTAATAAAACATTTAATAAAAATATTTTCACTTTCCCTCCAAAAGAAGTTACATATTTTTTTAATTAATTACTCATTAATCTCACATTTAAGAAGGTTTTTTATAGTTAAATTTAATTAGTTAATGACTAAATTATCTTAATATCTTATCAGTTTTTCAAAAAAATAGTAACTTTTTTCAATAAATTTTATAAAAATTAGTCAAATGTGCTTATATTCATATAAATCAGAAAAAAAATTAAATCTTAGATATATAAAAAGAACATCGTTGAAATAACTTGAATCCGCAAGGGTAATTCTATACTCATTATCAATTACTTTAAATTTTTTATACAAATAAAAAATTAATATTATATTTACTCATTTATATTTAGATGGTATTTTTTTTATTAAGAAGCAAGGACAATCTCTATCAATCAATAAGAGTCAAGGACAAACAATATAAAGAAGTGTTTCCTATGCTATGACATGATCAATAAGAGTCAAAGACAGTCTCTGTCGCACGTCGGCTTACTACTGAAGAGCTCTGCATTTAGTCATGAGCAATTATACGTGGCGCTTTTTAGAGTTACGAGTCAGTGGGGTTTGAAGATTTTGATTTGAGCTGAGGGAGATTTGGACGATAGAAAAACCACGACGTTGTTTTATAAAGAAGTGTTTAAGAATATTTATATTTTTTTCTTAATTTTTTTCAATGAATTTGTTATGATATTATTTTTTCATGTATCATATAGTTTTCCGTGCAAATGTACGGGACAAAAACTAGTAATTAAATAATATCAACCAATCATTCTTACACATCACATCAACTTTAATTCACTATTCATCCATTCACATAATTTTAACTAACCATCACTTTCAATCATTTTTCTTCTACTTTACATCAAATCAACTTTAATTATTTTATTTAAAAATTATTTTAATATATCCACTAATAACTAAGAATACCATATTTTTACAAAATTAATTATAGTTAAAAAACAAACTAAATAAAAATTAGTTAAATCTATAAACAATAGAAAAATGCCACAAGTACATAATAAATATAAATAGAGAAACATAACACTCACATGAAGTGGAGTCTACTTGATTTTTTATATTTAGTAGGACTCACTTAATATGAGTGTTATGTACACCTCTATGTACAGTATTATGTAATTATAGCATTTCCCTAAACAATCACCCCTAAGCTATTCAGAAGGAACAATTATTGTAGCGTGAGTAGCGACTGCGTGACTAAAGAATACGTTGTGGACCTTGTGGTCTAGCGTGACGTGCAAAATGCAAATATTTTCACCTTTTCTGACCTTAAGACAAGCACCTCGAAGTTTCCCAGTCTTCTTCATTTCATATTATTTAATTCACAAACAAGCTTTTTCGGCATTTCTTTCTCAATTCAACTCCATTACACATCCGCCAATAGTGGTCTGCCACGTTCGATACGTGATGGAATTTTCCACGCGTGTCTCTCTATTATTGGTCATATATGTGGAATTGTTGACCTATCTCTAAAAACAGAATGCAACTCCCACAAATTTTATTATTGAAAAGTCTAAATTGCCCATGGTACTTTGTATTTTTTAAAGAGTAAGGCACAAATTCTGAAAAGGAAAATGTGTCATCTTATAACTTTAGCTTAGCCAATAGGGATGAGCATGGATCGGTACGGTTCGGAGATTGATAAATCTCCAAATCTTCAAAATCATACTGAAGTTCGGAGGTCACTAAAATACAATCTCCAGAACCGTACCAAAAAATCATTTTGGTCCAGTTCGGAGATTTTTATTTTTCTGTTCGGTTCGGTTCAGTTTTCGAGACTATCGGAACGGTTCGGTTCGGTTTGGTTCGGTTCGGATATTCGGAGATTTCTTTTTATTTTTTAAATTTTTTGAATGACCACTTAGTTATATTTTATTTTTTATATGTTTTTAGTTAATCCAACATTCATCAATACTTAATCATACTAAAGATTTTATTTTTAAATCTACTTTAGAAGTAACTCTAAATTTTAGTTAAGACTAAATTCAACTAACATTGAAAATTTAAAATTCAAACAAAATATAATATAGTTTTATATTAAAGTAATATTTATTTAACCTTACATACCATGTTAGTTATAAGATAGACTAAGGCAAGTATCGCCAACTTTAAGTAAAGCTTAAATTTTTTTCTTAAATCTTTAACCTTTCATTCCATTCTAATTTTTTTTTAAACAGAAAAAATTCAATTGTAGATAAAGTATTACTAAACATGAAATTTAAATGAATCTTAATTGTTATTACTATATTTTATTTGCATTAAAAATTCTCAAATTATATAAAATCAAAGTTGACATAAAATATATTAACTCGCATCTATTTTTATAATTCGGTTCTTAATTTTGGTTCTTCGGTTCGGTTCGGTTCTCGGTACGGATATTTATGAAATCTCCAGAACTGTACCAATTATTTTTTCAGTTCGGTTCGGTTCAGAGAAAGTCAAACGGTCAACGGATATTTTTCGGTTCAGAGTGATTTCGGTTTGATTTTCGGAACGGTTTGGAATTCTCCGAGTCCCATGCCCAGCCCTATTAGCCAATGCAAATCATAAAATTTTTCTAGTTATTGGTAAATCATAATTTTTTTTAACTTATTTTTTCAATTAATTAATGTAGAAGACAACAATTATTTTTAAACTATTTTATTATATAATAGTTACTACTAATACTAACTAATTATAAATTTACATTAAGTTGCATGTGAAAATTACATAGTTATAAAAAAATCTACTGCAAATTGTTACTTTAAAATATTTGATCTACAATAAATATTCTTTTTTTATCTTATTAAGTATTTTTTATGTAATATTACTTAATGGGTTTTAGTTGCATAATAAGACTCCTTAAAATCACATAAACAATGTTTAACAATAATAAAAATAATTATAAATTTTTTCAACTAACTAATTTATCATGGTAAAAAATGTAATGCACTCATTATCTAATTTAAACTTTTAAATATTATACATACAATATGTTTTTTTTTTTTCTTCTATATGTATGTGCACATGACCGAGTACTAGTTAATCAGTATTGTGAAAAATTAAGTCCATACTTAATGTGATTTAATGCTCTTTGCAAATGATTGTTAATGAGTAATTGATTCTCGCATGCACAAATGTATCTACTCGATTCTGTGCACATGCATTTTAAGTAATATGCATGTATATAATGTAAATATTAATAATTAGATAATATTATTACATTTGAAAATTTAGTCATTAATAAAAATAAATAGTGTAAAAATATTTAACTAAATATGAAACTTCTCATTTACTCCCACAATATTAAGGCTGACTAATTAATATTTTGCAAGCACAATTATAATTAGTGGCTTAAACGGTAAGGCAGGTCGAGGTGTTATAATTTATTAACAAAAATAAAGTCATAAGAGCATCCGCATCGCAGTATTTTCTCTTTCCGTTTAAATGGAAGGGGGGGCGTCAAAGGGATGTGGTGCGTTCATTAAATGCGGGCCACCCCTTTGCCGTTCAAATTCTTGAATGCCATTTACTTCTTTTATTTTTTTTTTGTTTTTTTTGTTGTTGTTTTAAATGTTATTATAATGCCATGTTCTTTTTTCTTATTTACCAAAATTATTAACTTCTCTTGTTTCTTTTATATATATGTATATATATATATATATGTATATATATATATATTTAATCCAATTATTATCCAAATCATACTTCTCAATATGTATCAATAATTTACTTTTTTTTCATCATCTCATTTTTTTTTGTGTAATTTTAATTTAAGTTATTTTGGTCTTGTAGTGTTATTTTATTTTCATGCATTTAAAATTTATTATTATAATTTAATAATATTAAATTTTTATTTTTATAGAGAATAGAATATTAAAATTTATATTGAATAAGTGGATAATGGGTCCCATATATGTATTTAAATGAATGGATATGAATGTGGGTGTGTGTTTAAGTGGAGAGAGGTTTAGTGGAAAGATGATGTGGAGATGATGTGGATGAGAGAGAGTGTTAATTTTTGATTGAATGAATTGGTAGGGATGTGGATGCCCTAAGATGCATTAGCTACATTTACATTTTATACAGTAAAATTATAGGTACATTTAAAAAAATAAAAAATAAAAAAAGATTGTTCTTTTTTTTTTCAACGATAACAAAAGATATTGAAAAACTCAAAAAATGTTTTACAACCAAATGTCCAACTGAACCCAAAATTACAAAGCTTGCAAAAGCAAAAGCAAAACAAGACCATCGGAAGAGTTCCTGACCATTCTTCACTGCAACACTACCAAAGCCAATAGTTCCTCCTGTAGAGATTGAAGCACTGACACGCGTTGGACGACTGCAACACTACCAAAGCCAATGGTTCTCCGAGTATGAGGGTCGGAATGAGGCCCGTTGGACGACTTTCACTCAGCAGAACGATGCGCGTTGGACGTCGTTCGTGGAGTCCAACGATGCACGTTGGACGTCGTTCGTGGAGTCCAACGATGCACGTTGGACGGAGCAGACTAGGAGATGGAACGAGTTTGTTCAGGGCAATGAGGCGCACTGGACAGCCCACGACAGCCGATGGGACACCTGGGCGGACCAACAGTACCAGCAGTGGAGCACTTGGGACAATCGGTTCAGCCAGTGGGATGCCCAGTGGAGTGCGGGTAGCAGCCATGCCTCACCACCACCATCACCGGGCGCACAGTGACTTGTCACTGTGCTTTGTACGTTTTCTCTTTCTCTTTCTCTTTTATTTTTGTATAGTTTATTTTATTCTTAAGTCGGTTAATTATGTGGTCTAACTCTCTTGTACTTGGGGTTGACAATGGGGACATTGTCTAATCTTAAGTGTGGGGGAGTTTGACGTGTTTACGTGGCTATGTGGTTGACCAAGTCTAGTTTTTATTTCTAGGATTGCTTTTGCTTTTGTTTTTCTCTTGTTTTGTGGACCGGTATGCTTTGTAGGATTATTTGTTTGTGTTTTTCTGAGCTTGAACTTTGGTGTATTGTAAGACTAGTTGATGATTGGTTGATTTGGTTAAGTAGTTGTAATGATGAGAATGAGTGGCCTATCTTGATGAATTGGCTTGGTTGTTCTGTTGACAGTCATTTTACCTTGTGAGGTTTGAGCCACGTTCGTTTCTTTTCTCGTGAGATATTGGTCAGAATCGTTATCAATTAGAATTTGCCTTGAGTTTGCTTAGAAATGAAATAATTGGATTTGTGAATGTGAATATGATTGAGGCATTCTTTGTATTTCCCTTCCCTTTTCTTTTTCTAAAAATAATTTCGCTAGTCACCCCTTTGAGCCTTACTGATTTTCTTTCTCTTACCTCGTGACGATGATATTGTGGAGTTACGTGTTTAGATTGGGACAGAATGGATTATGTAAAAATTTCCAAAGGTTCTCACAGAAAAAAAAATAAAATTAATTAGAAATGGTGAATAAGTTAGGAGGTGGGTTGATTTGGAGTAGTGAGGGGAACCGGTTGGTGTCAGCAGCCGGAGGAATTCATGATTATGTTCATCTGATTGAGTGGAGATGATTTTTATTTAGCCAGTTAGCCTATATTTATCCTACCCTATCCAAAGAGCCTACATTACAACCCTTAAAGCCCTCTTGATTCATTGTTTCACGAATTTGATTGTTTTAGAGTAGGAGTTAGATGATAGGCAAATTTATGATTGATTTGACTTACGACCAATTTAAGTGTACCCAGTTGATATTTGAGAAAGAAATTGAGTGAAGCATATATGATACACTTCTGTACTCGAGAGCTTATGTCATTCAAAATAGCCAAGTTAATAGTTGAGGTGTGCCCTTGTGATCATTTGAATTCTTCTTGACTTGATTGATTGGTTTGAGATTAGTCTTGCTTGAACAGTTGTCCTTGCTCATTTGTTTATTTTCTTTTTCTTTTCTTTTCCTTTCTTTTTGTTCGGGACGAACAAAGGTCTTAGTGTGGGGGAGTTGTTTATCCCATTTTTGTTGCTATTTTTGTTTATGTTTTGCGTGTATTTTCCCCCGTTTTAGGTCATTTCTTAGGTGTTACCGGTCCATCTAGTCATTTCTCGTGTTTTAGTGTTATTTATTCGTGTTTCGTGTTCTTGTTTTCTTTTCTCCTTTTTTTTCTTGCTTTTTGCGTTTTTTCTTATTTTGGTGATTTCAGGTTATGCCGGTTACCAAGTGTTCCATGCCTGTTAATGCGACCAAACATGCGGAGGTCGATTTTCCAGCTCGAGCAGTACCCGAGCGACGCTAGTCGAGCACGCGACCCAAACAAAAAGCAACTTTTGGGCATTCCAAGACCTTAGCGCCGCTAAGGCTAAATGGCTAGCGGCGCTACCCATTCATAACGAGGGCTGGGGCGAACAGCTAAGGCACCTTAGCGGCGCTAAGGTCTGTTATTCAACAGGCGCGATTTTGAGGGGTTTTGAATTGGAGTATGATATATTTTCGAACCTAGGGCTAATGTTAGTCAGTGTGGAGCATTGTATTTTCGTTTTTTCACTTCAAAAGGCACTCTTTCTCTTGTGATTTCATTGGATTTCAATCTTGGGTAGTGAAAGCTCCATGATTCGACTTAGGATTTGGATTACTCTCGTTTCTTTGACATTGGATCCATTTTAATCGTAAGCTTTCCTTTCATTTTATTATGATTATGATGGCTTGGATTGATGTGTGTGATGATGTTGAATTGATGATGAGTAGCTAAATTCGTTAACTAGGGTTAGGGGATAGTTGTTCCGGTTCGATTTCGTTTGTGTGTACTTTGATTGCTCAATTTGAATGAGTTGTGCTATACCTAGGGTTGGATGATTGATCACCATCTTAATCTACTAAATCGATTTTTAGAACCAAAAGGGGAACAGATCGATCCAAGATCGTTTAGAATAGACTTGTTTGGTAACGTATTGTCTATGTGTTAATTGACTTGATTATTGTTCGTTTATGTTCATTCTCTTGCTACGTGAGTTATTGAGAATGAACCTCTAGATGAATTGGTTTTTCGAGCCATTTAGCCAAGTAGTTGATTGCCCGTTAAATGTATTGAGAACCGAAAACGAATTGTCCTCGACGCCCTAGTCCTTTTACAATTATTTGAATCTTGTTTGAAGTTGTGTGATCGAAATTGCTTGTTCGAGTATCATTAGTTTTTAATCGCACAGTTGATAATCAAAACCAACCATTTGAATAAGAGTGTTTAGGATTATTTTCTCTATTCGTGTGATTGAATAATCGTGCAAATTAATCCGGCAAACCTTCCTTCAGACACGACCCGGTGTTCGAATCTTTCGATTCTACTCTGGTAAAAATTACTACAACAAAATGGCGCCGTTTCCGGGGAAGGTTTAGGACTTATTTTGTGCGCCTATTCATTTTGTTTTTAGTGTTTCTCTTATTTTTGTGATTTCTTGTTTTGTGTGTTTCTCTTTGTTTTGTTTTCCTTGACTAGTTCTAGTGTTTTATTGTTTTGTTTTTCTTTGTCTTTTTCTTATCTATCTGATGCCCGTGACGTTTTTGATGTTTTTGTTTATGCATACCAAGAGCGGTCGTGTAATCATCCCGAACAACGAACCCATCCAGAGGGACCTCCAGGAATTGTTGGCTAACCTTGCCCCTGTATCTTCAGACTCAGCCAACCGAGACTCAGATAGTCAAGGAGACATGGCAAACAACAGTGAGGAGGAAGTGAATAACCCACCTCGTCATCTCCTTCGTGATTTGGCTCACCCAATAATCGGGCCAGTGACTTCATGCATCCGGCTGGGGCCAGCAGCTCGGAACTACGAGCTAAAAATAATCCACTACAACCAGCTGCCATCTTTCCATGGTCTACCCAACGAGGACCCACTCCATTTCATTCAGGAGTTCTATAATGTCCTCCAGACCTTCCCTCTCCATAACCTAAACGAGGACCAGCTAAAGATGAGGTGTTTCCCTGAGACACTCAAAGACCGGGCCAAGGCTTGGTTTATGACACTTATTCCCGACTCCCTAACCACTTGGGAGAAAGTGTACACCAAGTTTATTAGGAAATACTACTCTCACCAGAAGACGTAGAAGTTCCGGTCTCAAATCGTTTCCTTTGCCCAAAAACCGAACGAGCCGCTTCATGAAGCATGGGAGCGCTTTAAAGACCTCCAGAGGCAGTGCCCACACCATAACTTCCCACCTGCCTTGTTAATGAACAGCTTCTATGACTCTCTCCACCAGAATCTCCAGTACATGGTGGATAATGCGGCCGGCGGAGATACTTTGGCAAAGACGGCCGAGGAGATGAATGACATTTTTTAGGCGATGAGCTCTAACTCGTCTCAAAAGAGCAGTCAAGGAAAGAGGGCTGGGGTCCACGAAGTATCTTCTGGGCGGGACATGATGGCCCATCAGATAGCCGAGCTCACGAAGCAGATACGGCTACTAAATGCAAGAGGAGGCCAACCAATGCAAACTGTGACTGTTGAAGCATGTGGTGCTTGTGGAGTCCAAGGCCACAGATCTGAGGTGTGCCCCTCGGCATTTGACCAGGATTTTGGTGAACAATATGAAGATGTCAATGCTCTTCAAGGCTACCAGAACTGGCCTGTCAATGATCCATACTCAAACACATATAACCCGGGGTGGAGAAATCACTCAAATCTCTCGTGGTCCAACAACAACAACATCCAGCAGCCTCCTCGACAGAACTTCATGCAGCAACAACCCCGACCCAACTTCATCCCCTAAAAACATATGAGAGCGAACTATCCTCAACAGCAGCAACAGTAACCCCAAAGAGGCCAGATGGGTGGGATGCAAGCACAAGGAGCCTGCTCCAGTTCATCAAATCAAGACAACAAACTGGACAAGATTCTCCAGTTTATGGCCAACAGTGAGCAAAGGGGCTTGAACACCGATGCATCCATCAAACGCTTGGAGACACAGTTGGGCCAGCTTCCTACGAGAGTGGGGAACATGGAGGCCGATTCAGACAAGGGAAAGTTGCCCAGCCAGCCTAAGGAAGCCAAGGCGATTACAATTTTGAGAAGTGGGTAGGAGGTAGACAACCACGTGAAAATGCCGAAGCCTGATAACCTTAAGCCAACCAAACCCCAAGAAGAATACAGAAGTTGATTCGAGAAAGCAGATAGACAGTTCGAAGATGCACAAGTCACCAAACCCCTTTAAACCAAGCATACCTTTCCCAAGCCGACTTCGAGATGAGAAGCAGGAGCAGCAATTTCGAGACCTATACAACATGCTCTCAAAAGTCAACGTCAACCTACCAATCCTAGACGTGATCAAGAACATGCCTTCCTACGTGAAGTTTTTCAAAGACTTAGTGACCAAGAAGAGAAAATTCGTAGATGGAGAGAAAGTGGTGGTCTACGAGGCTGCAAGTGCTATGCAGCATGATATTCCAAAGAAGGAACGAGATCCCAGGGGCTTCGCGATTCAGATAGATCTCAGAAATGGAAAGGAGGCTTCGGGGATGCTGGACCTTGGAGCAGGGATCAACCTCATGCCGTTCTCTATCTTTCAGTGGCTCGGCCTAGGAGACTTGAGGCCGACCCGCATGTGCCTTCAGCTCGCAGACCGTTCTATCAGATACCTCAACGGAGTAGTAGAAGATGTCCTTGTTCGTGTTGGGAAACTTATCGTCCCGGTGGACTTCGTAGTTCTAGATGTGGGGAACGTGCAGGAGAATGGGAAGGATCTCACAATCCTTCTCGGCAGACCGTTTATGGCACCACCAACACCTTAATTGATGTCAAGAACGGGACACTGAATATGACGGTCCTGGGCGAGTCAGTGTCCATCTCTGTTCGAGAAGCCATATCCTCCTCCTCGCTGAACTTTGTGGAGGAGTGTGCCTTTGTTGATGTGAGTGACCCATTTGTTGAGGAGACGGCTATACGAGACTTAGAAGAGAGATTAATGCCCGACCTTGACAATGAGGAACCGACCATCGAGCTCTTCGAAGTAGCCGAGGAGCCCCACTTATGAACCCCACCCACATTAGAACTCAAGGAATTACCTTGTCACCTCAAATGTGTATTCCTTGATGATGAGAAGCAAAAGCCGGTCATTATCTTTGCCGAGCTCAACCGAGATGAGGAACAAGAGCTAATTGGCGTGTTGAAGAGGAATCAGAAGGCCATTGGGTGGAGCCTCGGGGACATAAAAGGCATCAGTCCTTCTACATGCATGCACCAGTTCATTTTGTAAGAGGGTGCCAAACATTCCGGGACAGTCAGTGGCGGCTCAACCCGAACATGATGGAGGTTGTAAAGAAGAAGGTGTTGAAGCTCTACTCAGAAGGGCTCATTTATCTAGTGGCAGACAGCGAATGGGTCAGCCCGATCCATGTGGTGCCGAAGAAAGGGGGTATCACGGTGATAGAGAATGAGAAGAAGAAAATGGTCCCTACCCGAATCACTACCGGGTGGAGAATGTGTATAGACTATCGACGCCTCAATGCTATGACAAAGAAGGATCACTTTCTGTTGCCCTTCATCGATCAGATTCTCGACCGTCTCTCGGGACATCAGTTCTACTACTTCCTAGGCGGACTCTCCGGCTACTACCAAGTGGCCATAGCACCTGAGGACCAATCGAAAACAACCTTCACATGCTCATTCGGCACATTTGCCTTCATGCAGATGCCATTCGGCCTATGCAATGCACCCGGGACCTTCCAAAGGTGCATGTTCTCCATTTTCTCCGACATGCTTGAGGATTTCCTACAGGTATTTATAGATGACTTCTCTATTTTTGGTACTTCATTTTTTGATTGTCTCCATAATTTATCTCGTGTGCTTGAAAGATGTATTGAATCTAATTTGACCTTGAGTTGGGAGAAGAGTCATTTTATGGTGACTAGTGGAGTTGTGTTAGGCCATGTGGTGTCTAATCGTGGTATTGAGGTTGATAAGGAAAAGATTGATGTGATTGAAAGATTACCTCCTCCTGTGAATGTGAAAGGAGTTAGAAGTTTTCTGGGTCATGCTGGCTTCTATAGGAGATTTATTAAAGATTTTTCAAAAATAAGCCAGCCTTTGTGTCACATGCTTGCTAATGATGTGCCTTTTGTGTTTGATGATGCATGTGTAGATGCCTATGATAAGTTGAAAAATAAGCTTGTGACTGCACCCATTGTTATTGCTTCTGATTGGTCCTTGCCTTTTGAGATTATGTGTGATGCTTCAAACCTTGCTGTTGGAGCCGTCTTGGGCCAACGAGTTGATAAGTTACTTCATGTAATTTATTATGCTAGTTTGACCTTAAACGGTGCCCAGTTGAACTACACTACCACCGAGAAAGAGCTTTTGGCAGTAATTTTTCCTCTTGAAAAGTTTAGATCTTACATTCTAGGGTCTAAAATGATTGTTCATTCTGACCATGCTGCATTGAGCTATCTTTTGAGTAAGACTCAATCGAAACCTAGGCTCATTCGATGGATTTTACTCTTGCAAAAGTTTGATATAGAAATTCGGGATATGAAAGGTTGTGAAAATGTGGTTGCTGATCATCTTTCTCGCATTGTCCCTACTAATCATTCACTTACTTTGAATGAGCATGTTGATATGAATGATAGTTTTCCATATGAGCATGTGAGTGAAGTAGTTAGTGTTCCTTGGTATGCAGATATTGTCAATTATTTATCGAATGGAGTCCTGTTGTCAAACTTCTCTTCCCAAGAGAGGAAGCGTTTCGTTTTGATGTGCAGGAGCTACTTTTGGGATGACCCACTCCTTTTCAAGTAGGGAAAGGACGGGATTCTTAGAAGATGTGTGCCCGAAGAAGAGCAATCGGATGTTCTTACCTTTTGCCACGAGCTTCATTGTGGAGGACATTTCGGAGGAAGAAAAACTTCCTTCAAGGTTCTCCAATCAGGTTTGTTTTGGCCTACTCTATTTAAAGATACTCATAATTTTTGCAAATCTTGTGACCGCTGTCATAGGATTGGAAATATAGGCCCAAGGAATGAGATGCCCCTTGTGAATAATTTGCAAGTGGAAATATTTGATGTATGGGGCATTGACTATATGGGACCATTTCCCAAATCTTTTGGCTTTGAGTATATTCTTCTTGCTGTAGATTACGTGTCTAAGTGGGTTGAGGCTATCCCCACAAGGGCGTGTGATGCTAATGTGGTTATCAAGTTTTTGCAAGGTAATATATTGAGCAGGTTTGGATTCCCACGGGCCATTGTGAGTGACGGGGGTAAACATTTTTGCAACCGGATATTTGAGAAGCTAATGAAGAAGTACGGCATTTCACATAAGGTAGCCACCCCATACCATCCACAGACGTTGGGCCAAGCGGAGACGAGCAATTAGCAAATCAAGACCATTCTTGAGAAGACGGTAAACTCGTCTAGGAAGGATTGGTCGAGTAGGCTCGATGATGCGCTATGGGCCCAAAGGACAGCATTCAAGGGAGTTTTGGGGATGAGTCCATTCAGACTTGTCTACGGGAAGGCATGTCACCTTCCGGTTGAGATCAAGCACGAGGGATTTTGGGCAATAAAACGGATGAATTTTGATCTTGATGCAGCCGGGCGAGAGTGGATGTGCCAACTTTCCGAACTTGAAGAATTGAGGAACAAGGCTTACGAGAAGTCCAAAATTTACAAGGACAAGTCAAGAAGCTTCACGACTCGACCATTATCCGGAAGAACCTAGTGCCCAGTATGAAAGTCCTCTTATTCAACTCCCGACTTCGTCTCTTCCCGGGAAAGCTCAAATCACGGTAGAGCGGACCGTACCTTATCGATGAGGTGTTATCATTTGGAGCTGTCCGACTGCGAAATCCAGCAAATGGCGAGTTGTTTGTAGTGAACGGGCAAAGAGTCAAGCCTTATTTTGAAGGAGAGCTCGGAAAGCATCATGTCGAGACTATCAGTCTCGACGACCCGTATCCTTGATTCGGAATTGTGCCGAGCTCCCGGCTTAAAACCGAGCAATCATTTGTACTTTCTGTATATATAAAAAAAAAAAGGGTTAGCGGCGCTAAGAAGTCTTAGCGCCGCTAAGGCTACTACTGAGCCGAACAGCTAAGGTGGACTAGTGGCGGTAACAAACCTTAGCTGCGTTAAGGTCTGGAACTTAATAAAAAAAAGGGAAAGGCATCGGGCATACTCATTTCACAAACTTATCTCTCTCAAGTAACGACAGACCACCTCACCTCCGACATCCGACCTCCACTCATCGTCTCCGACCACTGACGACACTCTGACACCTTACCTCCGGCGTCAATCTTTGAGCATGACCTCCGACACAACGTCGCCCTCCATCTTGTGCAGTCCACGCAAACATCCCCTTCACCAAACCCTAGCTCGTGAACCGCAGCCATCTCCGACCATCCATCCATCTCCGACCGTTCACCCTCCAGCGACACAACCCACAACCCTCTGCTCACCTCCGGCGATGTCTACTCCAACCACCATTCCGGCCATCAATTGCCCTTCACTAGTCCTCATACCTAGCTCATGGTTTGCTCGTTTCCGGCCCGAACTATCACCAAAAGGTACCAATAGCTTACAATACTTGAAGTGAGTTGATTGTTGTGGCGTGAGGAGGCCTGCTCCGGGATTCACTATCTTGAATTATTCACAAGCTCTTTAGTTCAAGTACCGCACGCCACGTGTTCGACAATTTGTCCGTACTAAAATCATGGTGAAAGGAGGAGCGAATTCGAAGAAAAGGGCCCCCGCAACTTCCAAGGGAAAAGCGGCGGCCTCCACGAGCGCCAACCCTGACCCGGCAGCCCCAGCCATGTCCTTAGCTCAACAGTATCGCATCCCCTTTGAGGTTGTGTCAATGGACGAGGTCACGACATACCAAAGGCTTCACGCCAGGCCCGTTCTAGCACCACGTTATATCGATTGGGAATACTTCAACGACGAGCTCGAGACCGGTGACGAGCGCTACATCAGGTTGTTCGATCTCGAGGAATTCGAGGATACAGAGGCATATGCTTACCGGTATTTGACGCTAGAGTTCTTCAGCACAGTCGCCACACACGAAAATGGGAAGTACCTCACGGCACGACTTAAGGGCACGGAATATAAAATCACCGACAAGGTGTTGCGCGACATGTACAACTTCGATCCCTCCATCAAGTCACGCCACAGCCCCATGGGATTCAAGGTTGATCCGCATTGGGCGGTCATCTCCCCCTGCGAGACATACAAGAAATCGGGGTCGTCTTCGGGTCTAATCAGCGACTTGGCACATGTGGTGATCCACAATTACATCTCGCAGATGATCTTCGGCAAGAAGGAATCAAACAAGGTGAACGAGCAGCAAGTGTTCATATTATGGTCGATTTTTCAAGACAAGCCGGTGACCATGCTGTAGTACCTGAAGGACACCTTGTTCGACATACGCAACGACACGAGGCGTGGTCCGAACTTGGGCCATGTGGTGTCTAAGCTAGCAGAGTACTTTGGGGTCAAGACCGACGAACCCCCAATCCGGGCCAAACTGATTTATCAGAAGGACCTCGGGCACCCCGGCTACCTGATCAACCCACACACTCCGAAGCCCGTCACCAAGCGGGCCAGCTACAATGCCTATTGCGAGGAAATGGGTATACTGTTTCCGGACGATGAGTCCTAACCGAGAGCCGGTACGTCAGCCGGCCCAGCCGATGAGAACCCTAATGATGAGGACGAGGACGAGCTCGACGCCAACAGACACCCCACCCGCAAGATCATTCAGCCCCCTCCCTTGATAGACGCGCACACGGGTGCGTCTTCCCAATTAGCTGCTCCGGTTTGGTTCTCCGCGTATGAGGCTCGGAATGAGGCCCGTTGGACGACTTTCACTCAGCAGAACGACACGCGTTGGACGTCGTTCGTGGAGTCCAACGATGCACGTTGGACGTCATTCGTGGAGTCCAACGATGCACGTTGGACGGAGCAAACCAGGAGATGGAACGAGTTTGTTCAGGGCAATGAGGTGCACTGGACAGCCCACGACAGCCGATGGGACACCTGGGCGGACCAACCGTATCAGCAGTGGAGCACTTGGGACACCCGGTTCAGCCAGTGGGATGCCCAGTGGAGTGCGGGTAGCAGCCATCCCCCACTACCACCATCACCGGGAGCACAGTGACTTGTCACTGTGCTTTGTACGTTTTCTCTTTCTCTTTCTCTTTTATTATTGTATAGTTTATTTTATTCTTAAATTGATTAATTGTGTGGTCTAACTCTCTTGTACTTGGGGTTGACAATGGGGACATTGTCTAATCTTAAGTGTGGGGGAGTTTTACATGTTTACGTGGCTATGTGGTTGACCAGGTCTAGTTTTTAGTTCTAGGATTGCTTTTGCTTTTGTTTTTCTCTTGTTTTGTGGACCGGTATGCTTTGTAGGATTATTTGTTAGTGTTTTTCTGAGCTTGGACTTTGGTGTATTGTAAGACTAGTTGATGATTGGTTGATTTGATTAAGTAGTTGTGATGATGAGAATGAGTGGCATATCTTGATGAATTGGCTTGGTTGTTCTGTTGATAGTCATTTTACCTTGTGAGGTTTGAGCCACGGTCGTTTCTTTTCTCGCGAGATATTGGTCAGAATCGTTATCTATTAGAATTTGCCTTGAGTCTGCTTAGAAATGAAATAATTGGATTTGTTGTAATGCCCCGTTAATTTATGAATAATTATGGGATTATTTTATTATTTATTATATTTGTCCGAATTTATTTATTTATTTATTTTAATTGTTCTCTTAATTGCCTTAATTGTTAGTTGTTATAGATAAATAAATAATGTGTGTATTTAGTTGCCTAAATATGTATCTATATTACTATTATTATTATTATTATTATTATTATTATTATTATTATTATTATTATTATTATTATTATTATTATTTTATTATTTGGCATTTATTTTATTTTCTAAATTAATTATTCGGGCTCGTTAATTTATCTCGATTATATGCTCGTAAATGCTAAATTATACTAATTTTAATGTCGAGCCGAATAGTATTATTTATTTATTTTCGGTCGAACCGAAATATTAAATAATCGAGACTTCGAACCGACCGAATATGCGTATTGTTTATCAACCCGGCCCGCGTCCCTCTTTCTCCCCATTTCATGCATGAATCGTTTTTTTTTTAATTTGAAATTCAAAGGGATTCCTATCCCTTATTTTGTGCCAACCAATCCCCCCTTCATGCCTTTCCAAAATTTTAGATGGGAGTTATTTGGAATTTAAGGAAGGTTGACCCTACCTCTCTCATTCCAATTCACGTCACCCTCCTCATCTTCACTCCCTCCTATTTCTTTGTACGCCGGAAAAGCCCCGCCGCCACCTTCGAGCTCGCCACACGTCCCGCTGGAATCCGCGCTCCTCCACCCGCGCACAGCAACCAGCCGCCGTGAGCCGCTCGCCATCAACCTCCTCCGCGTGCAGCACCTCAGCCGGCCGTTCCAGTCGTCCACGAGCCACCGTCTCAGCCGGCATCACCGAGAAGGACACGTCAGCCGCCGCTACTTCTCCCGCGATACGAACCTCCGCCGTCAAGCCGATTGCCGCTCGTCTTTTCGTTCTGTTTCTGAACACTTTCCCGAGATCGGTAACGAGTCTCGATCTCTCGTTATTTTAATTACGTATTATTTCGTGATATAGAGATGTTCGGTGATTTTATGTGCGGTGATTACACGTTCAATATCTCGAGTGCCGATATATGTCGATTCGAATAACTTTCTAATATATCGCACATCATTAGAGGTTGTGATAATTCCGCGTTATGCTCGTTCATTTCTGAATTTTAAATTATATTCCTTGTTGTCAAGATGCTATATGAACCGAGCGTGAGATTCGAACATCCAATATACATGTGATTGTCATTTTATGTGAAATCATTTTTTTCACTACTCTGTTGTGCTGCGTTTTGAGCCATCATAGACTGAATATTTGAAGTTGTGCCCTTCATGAGATATGTACTATGCTGAGTTTTCTATATCTATGCTTTGGAATTTCTCGATTCCAATCTATATCGGAAACGTTATGATTTTTACAAGATTTGTTGTACTTCCAGTTTTTCTCATACCCGGAAGCATAATTGTGTTTAATATTTGATCTGTTTTTCATGTCATAAGGTGCTCTTATGAACTTGGACTCTTCATGAAAGTTATAGATCTGTTTCTTACCTTTCAAATGAGATAAATTTCATTTTGATATGTGCTCTGTGGCTCGAGTTATGATTTTATGAAGTTAGATATGCATGAGTTAGGAATTATCATGTTGAAAGAAATCTGAGACTGAATGTTAACCGATTTTTCACTATCCCAATGACCTCATATGATTCTGTGTTCTAAATGAAAGTTGTAGAGGAATTATTAAAGTTTAATTTGAGATTTGAACCATATCATTTAGAGGTCTGTAGCTCGAGACAAGTGTTAGAAACTGAAGTGTTGTCCATGTTATATATTAGATCCTGACAGGTTTACTGAATCACATGTTTTGTGTTTAAGCTCATTGATAATGTAAAAATGCCAATGTGACCTTCAGAAAAGTTGTATACATTGGAGTTGCCTATCATGTGGTTTTTTAATTTTATTAATAGCATGCCTGTAGCTCCAGTTATATGGTAATTACTGAAGTCTGGTCAAGTTTATTTTCCCCGTTTTGGACTGTGGCTCAACTTTTAATGTTTGTTGATTTATCGCCTATTAAATGACCTTATTTGCTTTCAGTGTCTTCATAAGAATTTTATACTCATGTCTTAGGATTCCAATGCAACTTGATTCATGTTCATATGAGTTACATGCTGAAAGTTATATCGATTTTAAAAAACGCTGCCGGGTCTAATTTTCAAAAACTCATGTGATATTTTCGAAAATGTGTTTTCCCTTGTTTTAATGCGTACTTAAATGACTAAATGCACTTAGTTAGACTTAGTGATTATAGAATAGTCTGTAATAAGGCTATTTTACTAATGTAGGTGTTTGACGAGTCGACCTCGCCGCCTACCTTATTTTGTGTTTATTCCGGTCGCATCCAGGTGGGTTCATTTATGTTGAATCTACATTTATCGCACTTGTTATTTCGTGTAAATATTTTTCGTGATAGTTTTTGTATGCGTGAGAACCTAGTCTAAGTATCCTGATGGTAGTGCCTTTGACGAATGCATAATCAGTGGAAGTCACCTGCCCGTTGCATCCGGGAGGTGGGCGCCCGAATCCGTGTAGAGCGGAGGGGATTGTCTGAACGCCCGAATCCGTGTAGAGCGGAGGGATAATTTAACTTCACTGTCTCCTGGTAAGATCCTACGCCCGTTGCATCTGGGGTGGGAGTGCTTCCAGTTACATCCTCGTCGATGTCTGGTCGGGAGGTTTGTTGTATGTACATAGGAGGTTTGCGATAGGGCCTAATAGGGAGTTAGATCTGGATTCTATGCATACAATATTTATGGTTATGGATCTTTATGCGAAATATAGTATGTGGTAATGGTGAGTATGATGGTTGTACTCCCCCAATTTACTTTTTTGTCCTCTTGTTCCTCTTCCTATCTTCTAGGTAGAGCATGGTTGGCGGCGGCAGCGAGAAATGATCGAGTGGTGTCGTTGGATTGTTTGTTGCTTGCTTCCGCTTTTCTATTTCTTATCTCGATAGACCATTTGTTTAACTTTGAATGATCTTGCTTCCGGTTTATTTATTTCGAACATGTTGGAATATTTATTTATGCATGACTGGGTTTGAGGATTTGAATATTTGGAATGTTATCTTAAACTGTTCGTTTTATACATGTGTATATCTTTCTTAACTGTTTGAATTGTTTAATTGTTTGTGGTAGTTAAGTAGCGCCCGTTGAATATTAAAGTTTTAAATTGAGATTTTGCGAAAAATTAACTCTGAATTTTTATAAATAAATTCGATAATTCTTTAAAATAAAACGGGGCGTTACATTTGTGAACGTGAATATGATTGAGACATTCTTTGTATTTCCCTTCCCTTTTTCTTTTTCTGAAAATAATTTCGCTAGTCACCCCTTTTGAGCCTTACTGATTTTCTTTCTCTTACCTCGTGACGATGATATTGTGGAGTTACGTGTGTATATTGGGAGGTGATTGGTGTTTGTATAAAAAAAAAATTAGAAATGGTGAATAAGTTGGGAGGTAGGTTGATTTTGGAGTAGTGAGGGGAACCGGTTGGTGTCAGCAGCCGGAGGAATTCATGATTATGGTTATCTGATTGAGTGGAGTTGATTTTTATTTAGCCAGTTAGCCTATATTTATCCTACCCTATCCAAAGAGCCTACGTTACAACCCTTAAAGCCCTCTTAATTCATTGTTTCATGAATTTGATTATTTTAGAGTAGGAGTTAGATGATAGGCAAATTTATGATTGATTCGATTGACGACCAATTTGAGTGTACCCAGTTGATATTTGAGAAAGAAATTGAGTGAGGCATATATGATACACTTCTGTATGTCATTCAAAATACCCAAGTTAATAGTTGAGGTGTGCCCTTGTGATCATTTGAATTCTTCTTGACTTGATTGATTGGTTTGAGATTAGTCTTGCTTGAACCATTGTCCTTGCTCATTTGTTTATTTTCCTTTTCTTTTCTTTTCCTTTCTTTTTGTTCGGGACGAACAAAGGTCTTAGTGTGGGGGAGTTCATTGTCCTTGCTCATTTGTTTATTTTCCTTTTCTTTTCTTTTCCTTTCTTTTTGTTCGGGACGAACAAAGGTCTTAGTGTGGGGGAGTTTTTTGTCCCATTTTTGTTGCTATTTTTGTTTATGTTTTGCGTGTATTTTCCCCCGTTTTAGGTCATTTCTTAGGTGTTACCGGTCCATCTAGTCATTTCTCGTGTTTTAGTGTTATTTATTCGTGTTTCGTGTGCTCGTTTTCTTTTCTCCTTTTTTCTCTTGCTTTTCGCGTTTTTTTCGATTTTGGTGATTTCAGGTTATGCCGGTTACCAAGTGTTCCATGCCCGTTAATGCGACCAAACATGCGGAGGTCGATTTTCCAGCTAGAGCAGTACCCAAGCGATGCTAGCCGAGCACGCGAGCCAAAGAAAAAGCAACTTTTGGGCATTCTAGGACCTTAGCGCCGCTAAGGCTAAATGGCTAGCGGCGCTACCCATTCATAACGAGGGCTAGGGCGAACAGCTAAGGCACCTTAGCGGCGCTAAGGTCTGTTATGCAACAGGCGCGATTTTGAGGGGTTTTGAATTGGAGTATGATATATTTTCGAACCTAGGGCTAATGTTAGTTAGTGTGGAACATTGTATTTTCGTTTCTTCACTTCAAAAGGCACTCTTTTTCTTGTGATTTCATTGGATTTCAATCTTGGGTAGTTAAAGCTCCAAGATTCGACTTAGGATTTGGATTACTCTCGTTTCTTTGACATTGGATTTGTTTTAATCGTAAGCTTTCCTTTCATTTTATTATGATTATGATGGCCTGGATTGATGTGTGTGACGATGTTGAATTGATGATGAGTAGCTAAATTCGTTAACTAGGGTTAGGGGATAATTGTTCCGGTTCGATTTCGTTTGTGTGTACTTTGATTGCTCAATCTGAATGAATTGTGCTATACCTAGGGTTGGATGATTGATCACCATCTTAATTAACTAAATCGATTTTAGAACCAAAAGGGGAGGAATCGATTGATCCAACCTCGTTTAGAATAGACTTGTTCGGTAACGTATTGTCTATGTGTTGATTGACTTGATTATTGTTCGTTTATGTTCATTCTCTTGTTACGTGAGTTATTGAAAATGAACCTCTAGATGAATTGGTTTTTCGAGCCATTTAGCCGAGTAGTTGATTGCCCGTTAAATGTATTGAGAACTGGAAACGATTGTCCCCGACGCCTTAGTCCTTTTACAATTATTTGAATCTAGTTCGAAGTTGTGTGATTGAAATTGCTTATTCGAGTATCATTAGTTGTTAATCGCATAGTTGATAATCAAAACCAACCATTTGAATTAGAGTGTTTAGGATTACTTTCTCTTTTCGTGTGATTGAATAATCGTGCAAATTAATCAGGCCAACCTTCCTTGAGACACGACCCGATGTTCGAATCTTTCAATTCTACTCCGGTAAAAATTACTACAACATTTCTAAAGAAGAACATAGAAGATTTGTCTAAATTCACTTTTTGACAAGAATCATTTCCATAAGAATTGAGAATATGTAAAATCAAGTATGCACGCTTAATGTCAGCTTCACAGAAAAGGATCACATCATCAGCAAAAAGGAGATGAGAAATAACAGGAGAAAACCTACTAATCCTAGCAAGCTAAAAATGCTTAGAGACACAAGCCTGTTTCACCAAATTAGACAAAGATTCATACATCAAAAGAAACATATAAGAAGACAGAGGATCTCCTTGTCTGAGCCCTCTGGAAGACTGAACATGTCCTTGAACTGAGCCCTTCACATTGAAAGAAAAAGTAACAGAAGAAATACAAGCAAGAATCCAAGAACTAAATATCTCATTAAATTCCATTTTCATACAAACTCTAGCAACAAACCCCCATTCAACTTTGTCATAAGCTTTTGACATGTCAAGCTTAATTGCCATGAAATTCCTTTTTTTTTTCGTTTACAATTCAAAAAGTGTATGCATTCAGAGGCAATAACAACATTATCAAGAATCAGCCTTCCAGGAACAAAGGCAGATTGAGAGGTAGATATACAAGAAGATAACACAGGTTAGATCCTATTTGGTAGAATTTTAGAAATCACTTTGTACCCCATAGAGCACAAGATAATTGGCCTAAATTAGCCACACACACAAGATTAAGCTTGTTAGGGATAAGGTTGATAATTGTATGGTTCAAGCCCTTAGGCATCCTCTTCTGCTGAAAAATAAAAAAAAAATTGAACAGCTAAGATTAAATGGTGACTAATGGTAAACTAGGAATTTTGAAAAAAAAAAAAAATGCAGTCATACCATTAGCCCCAGGGGCTTTGTGCTGATCGATTTCAAATAAGGCAGCTTTAATCTCTAGATCCCCCACCTCCCTAATCAGTCTCTTGTTCATCTCATCAGTGATAGAAATAGGAATACCTTCTCGATTATAGTTCTGATCTAGAGGATTAGTAGTCTTGAACAAACCAGCAAAGTACTGTTGGAGCTCACTCACAACATCACCATCATTCTCACATTTACTCCAAGTAGACTTATTACGATTATCCAAGCTATTTGTTTTCCTCCTACTTCTCACCCTAGCCTGAAAGTATCTAGAGTTTCTGTCATCTTCTTTAAGACATGATATCCATGATTTTTGCCTCCAAAATATTTCTTCATTCTTATAAGCTTCATGAAACTCATCTTTAGTCTTAACCCACTCAGACCAATTCCTACTACCTCCTTTACTAACCATCTCCTCAAGGGTAAGCTTACATCTATCAATGAACAAAGCTGAGTTGGATTTCAAACTAGCCTTCTAGCTTAACAAAGTTGTTCTCACATTTTTAGTCCTACTCTGGATGTAAAGAGATGAGCCCCATGAACAGGATTATTCCAGGCTTTTGCAATTGTGTCATGGTACAATTCTAGGAGGGTCCATTTGCCATCAAAGGAAATTTGTGCTTAGGGGTTTCAAAAGTACCAACAGTATCCAAAATGATCATACTATGGTCATAAAATAAGAGAGAAATGTGCTTAACTTGGGCATTGAGAAAATTAAGATTCCCGTTAGGAGAAAGGGGAAAATATGTCTAGTTTTTCATCAACAAACTCATTTCCCATCCTATTGTTACTCCAAGTAAAGGGGTGTCCTATACATCTAGATTCCACAGCTCCTATATCTCTAACCAATCTTCTAAAACTCTCAGAACTACACTCTTATCTCACCATCCCTCCATTCTTTTCAGAATTATTAACAATGTCACTAAAGTCCCCACCTAAAAACCAAGAGTCCCCCAACACAAGCTATGTCTTACCAAAATATTCCACTGACTCTTCCTGACCACAGAACTGTTACTGGCATACAAAAACATCCCCCACTGAACAACATTACTGTTCTTCCAAGAGAACTTAATTAAAGATAAAACTCTAGAGCAATAATATCGAAAATAACTATATTACAAGACCAAAACAAAAACATGCCTCCTCTGGTTCCCAAAAGAACTTTATAAGCCCAATTATCCCCTAGCTTTAACTTATCACACACAATTTTGACAAATTTCTACTTTTTCTTAGTTTCTGACAAGAATACAAAATCAGGAAGGTGAAGTCTAATTACTTCTCTAATTTGGGAAACTGTTGATTGTCCTTCTAGACCTCTACAGTTCCACACACATACCTTCATTTCAAACCATGGGACCACTTATGGCTGGTTTTCTCCACCTTGGACTGCAATTTAATTTCTACAGATTTTAGTTTTTTTCTATCTGGCCTAACAAGTTCAGACTGTGAATCCTCATCTTGCAATTCAAAAAACTTTTTTTTGCCCTGCATATGTTCAACCTCTAGCCACTCTTCAGTAACTACAGGATCTATGACCATGTTAATATTTTCAACAACACTTAACCTAGGTTTCCTAACAAAAAACTTCTTTTTTCTTTGAAGAACTCTTCCTCCAATGGATGAAGGTTGAATACTTATTTCAACAAGTTGAGTATCTTCCTAATCTATGACCTCTAGGATCTAAATTTTAACCTCTTCCTCCACTACATTTTCCTCCATTTAAGTCAATTTCTCTTTTCCCTTGATAGTACTAGACTCCCATATCTTATCCGCTTGCTTTGGGACTCCTACACTACCCACATCTCTTGAATCAGCAACACTGTGACGTTTTCCCGGCAGAATTCGGACAGTCACTCTCTCAAGTGGCTATATCCTGTGATCTAAAGACATAGCGAAGAAAACTGAATGACTGGATTTATCGTACTATTTTGGCACTCCCTTAACCCTTGGGCTATGTCCACCTCCGATAGCTACACATTTTGTTCTTCTTTTTCTAATAATTTGAATTTTGAGGAGCCTGCCCATTAAATCTTGATTCATATAGCAAAATAAAAAAAAAAACCGCTACCTAAAGCTGCCTGAAAGAAATGGAAAGTGGATAACCTTTACAAATGGGAGAAATGAGATGGATCATAAAAGAGGGAAAAGAAAACTTCAACCTTAAAGAAAAACACTGCAGAACACTGAGAGGGCGAGGGAAGTCTAAGGCGAAAACCCCATCCCAGGAACAAAACGAGAACACTACACAAAGAATGAAAGCAAATCTAATGCATAGAACTGGAACACTAACGAGAGACTGGAAAATCGCAAAAGGAGAACTATTTTTTTTTTTTTTATAGCTTAAAAATGACCAGACATGCAAAAGGAATGAACATAGCCAATCTTGGCAACGTCCATTGATCGGCCTTCAATATCTTGCCTTGTTCAAACTTAATTTGAACTCACTAGTATTTTGAAATTATGTTGTAGCTCGATTTCTTAAATATTTTACCTGTTTACTTATATCCCCTTTATTATATATAATTCTCGAATGTGTTGAGCCCACATGGCAGGCTCGCATGATTCAAAATCCTATATGGAGAAATTTCATGCTTTGTCATTTGGCTTGGATAAATTCAAATTACTCTCAATCAAAAAAAAATAATTAGGTTTGAAATAGCCATAAATTACTAGATATTTATGGTCCTTTTTTAAGAGCATTAATTATGTTACATTTACTATTCTAGAGGTGATATATTAGGTAAAAAGAAAAATCTTCAATCCTTCTTTTTTCCTCACCTTTCTTTTAAAATTATGAAAAAAGTTACTAACTCAAATTATAAGTATATTTAAAAGTTTATAATTTTTTTATTTATTAATATTTTTTATACACAATATATCAAATTAATCATGTGTTGATGAAATTCGATTTTTGACACATATATTGTACGTACACAACAAATGATTATATTTATCTCTACAATAAAAATTAAATTATCTATAAATATTAATTAAAAATTAAAATTATTTAAATCAACTTAATTACAAAGTTTGATATGGGATATTATATAGCTAAAGAATAGACCGGTTTACCACATTGGTCAGGCAAGCTCGAGGTAGAGAAAACTGTATTGGTCGAGGGATAATCGACCAAAAGGGAAAAGATCGAGCAAAATAGCAGAACTGGTCGAGGATCGACCTAGCGACGGGAGACTCGGTCAGATCGAGCACTCAACAGGTGAAGAGCAGTCGAGAGCGTGGCTTGAACGCGAGAAAGCGCGTGGGTGGCGTTAGAAGATCCTAATGGGATGTGCAGAGAATAATCTCCCTCTGCTCAGAGGGACGCGTGGCGATAGTACATTGGTGCAGAGCAATAGTGGTGATAACCACCTCTGACGCCTCTGACACACGCATACTGTATGTGTACGGACGTGCAGTACAGGCAGGACAGCTCTCCAGATCCGGGCAGCTCTTAGGGCAGGTACCTCACTCCTATATATATAGGAGTGAGCCTTTTCTTGTGGCTTACGATTTATATATTACATACTTTAGAGAATTGAGTAGAATATACACTGACTTAAGCATCGGAGGCTCTTCACCGAAAAACCCCTCTGATGTGAGAGTTCTGTGCAAGTGCACAGCGTTCTACCGGCGAGGAGGAGGAAGACGAGCCGATTTCAAGCCGGTCGGAGTGTTTTGAGTTACCATTTGGCGCCGTCTGTGGGGACTTTCGTTCGAAAAGTGGTGTGCTGAGATTACTGAAGCTTGGTGGCTATGGCGGACGGAGTTCCTAGGAGAGATTTGCAGGCGTCGTTCGACGAGGCGTGGACGACGACGAGACTGTTCAGGGCAGGCCCCCCTCCAGGCTTCTCTGGACCTATGCCTACACCGGTGACTCCGATACTGGTTCTGCAAGGTGTAGGAGTCACGTCGGTACAACCAGAGGCCGATGTGGGCTCAAGCCGAGCTCAGGAGGCCCATACTACTCAAGGAGCGGCGATCCTGATGCCGCTACAACCAGATCCGACCGTGGCACCACAACAAGGAGCGGTGGTGTAGGGAGTACCGCCACCGCGTATGGAGGAGCACCGCCCGGCACAACAAGTGGTGTGATGACCAGGCAGGAGATGCAGCAGATGGTGGCCAACGCGGCTGCACAAGGATAGCGGACGATAGCGGACTAGGATGTGTCTAGTTATGGAGGAGATGGAGCTCTGCGAGATCGGGAGGTGGAGAGACTCGCAGAGCAGGTTAGACAGATGCAAGCCAAGATGGATGGCCGATCTGAGAGGCGTGCTCGAGGACACCCGTTCTCGAGGGACATATTGGCTGCACCATTACCCGCGAATTTCAGGGACATGAGTCTGGTGTTCGATAGGACTACTGACCAATCGAGGCATGTAAGGGAATTTGAGAACTTGGCTGTGTTACATGGTTATTCTGATTCTATTAGCTGTAGGGCATTCTTATCGACCTTGAGAGGAGGTGCGCTCGATTGGTTTCAGCAGCTCCCTCATGGATCGATCAAGGACTTGACGATTTCGCGGAGAAGTTGATGACCCAATATGCGAGCGTGTGGCGCAGGAGAAGACGTATTTGACGCTGATGGCCATGAGGCAGGGGGGAAAGAGTCGTTGCGCAAGTATGTAGCTCGATATAATCAAACTTGTTTGGAGATCCCCACGGCCGCGGACGAGGTGAAGGTTGTAGGGTTGATAAGGAGTTTACGAGCAGGGCCTTGTCGAACATCCTTAGCCAAAACCCCTGTTCGTACGTATGACGATGTGCTGAAGAGGTGCAAGAAGTACATTAACTTAGAGGAGACAGAGGCGGAGTTTGCTAAGTTGGAAGAATTAGCTAAGCCGGAGCCGAGGAAAGGGAGGTTGACCTCGCCTCGAAGGGTGTCGCCAAGGAGGAGATCGCCCAGGAGAGAGGGGCGTGGCAGGATGGATCGTGGACGAGAAAATAGGTGGAAGGATCGACCAGTGTTTGGAGGGAAGCGGTTCCATAACTTTACGCCGCTGAATGCAAACATGGAAGAAGTGTTGATGGACATCGAGAAGAAGATAGAGGACAAGGATGTGACGTGGCCGAGATCGAGGCATGAGGGGCTGACACAGCCTAGGTTGAAGAAGTATTGTCGTTTCCATAAAGATTATGGGCATACGACGGAGAAGTGCAGACACCTCAAAGATGAGATTGAGCGCCTCATTCGGGCAGGGCATCTCAAGGAATTTGTGTATGAGGACAAGGTGAAGGGGAAAGATAAAGGGAGGTGTCGGGAAGATTCAGAAGAGCGGAGTGATCGAGATGATGACGAGGAGGATGAACCTCGAGGAGGAAGAAGTGATCGAGGAGGTGCTGGAGGAAAGCGGAGGCGGGAGAGTAGAGATCGAGGAGGCCAGAAGGATCATGGTCCTGTGAAGAGAGGGACGACCTATATGATTTCAAGAGGCCCAACGGATGGGGACTCGAACAATGCAAGGAAGGAGCATGTTCGAGCAATGAACAAGAAGAGAGAGGAAGTGGGGATTACTGCTCGGATGCCGAAAATAAGTTTTCGGGCAGAAGATGCTGAGGGCGTGGTGTTGCCTCATAATGATGCATTGGTGATTACGGCGGAGGTGGCAGGTTTTTGATGTGAAGACGGTGTTCATTGCAGCCAAGAGAGGAGATCGAGGAGGTCCAGATGGTGGAAGGATGCGAGGAGAGGAAGTTTCGGGTAGAGAGGAGCTCGAGGAGCCCATAAGGTCGAGATTAATTGGGTTAATCAGGGAGTTCGCGGATGTTTTCGCGTATACGGCTGAGGAGTTAACGGGGATAAAAGCGGAGGTAATTGAGCACCGTTTGAATATTGATCTGACGGTGAGGCCGGTGAAACAGAAAAGGAAACATCATGGAGCAGAGATGGATAAGGTGATCGAGCAGGAGGTTGAGAAGTTATTGAAGGCGGGTCATGTTAAGGAGATCCAGTTCCCCGAGTGGTTGTCGAACACGGTGATGGTGTCTAAGTATGGAGGAAAGTGGAGGATGTGCATTGATTTTCGTGACTTAAACAAGGCGTGCCTGAAAGATTTGTATCCATTGCCTAGGATCGACCAGCTGGTCGATTCTACCGCGGGGTGTGAGTTGCTCAGTCTTATAGATGCGTCCCAGGGATACCACCAGATCCCTTTGGCTCGAGAGGATAGGAAGAGAGTGAGCTTTGTAACGAGCAGAGGCATTTATTGTTATGTGGTGATGCCCTTTGGCTTGAATAATGCAGGTGCGACATATCAAAGGCTGGTTGATAAAATTTTCAGGGAGCAGCTGGGAAGAAATATGGAGGTTTACGTCGACGATATGTTGGTGAAGAGCAAGGCGGAGGCCGATCACGTGAATGATCTAAAGGAGACGTTCTTGACTTTGCGAAGGTATGGCATGAAACTGAATCCCGCTAAGTGTTCTTTCAGAGTGAAGTCGGGAAAGTTTCTGGGGTATATGGTGACAAACAGGGGGATCGAGGTCAACCAGGAGAAGGTGAGGGCGGTGATCGAGATGAAACCGCCCACAAAAGTGAAGGAGGTGTAGATCTTGACGGTCAGGATCGTGGGCCCGAGCCGTTTCATATCAAAGGTGGCAGAGAAGAGTGGTCCTCTGTTTCGAACACTGAGAAAGAGCTCGAAATTCCAGTGGACGGAGGAGGCCCAGAGGTCATTTGAGGAGTTACAGGAAGTGTTAGCCAATCTGCCTCTGTTGGCTAAGCCGGTTCCTGGGGAGGATCTAGTGCTATACATATCGATCGGAGAAATGGCTGTAAGTTCGGTTCTATTGCGGGAGGAGGGCACGGTGCAATTCCCAATCTATTACGTAAGCAGGGTGATGCAGGGTGCGGAGAGGAGATATTTGGAGATCGAGAAGTGTGCCTTAGCCGTGGTGGTCACGGTGAGGAAGTTGCGGCCTTATTTTCTGGGCCACAAGGTGAAGGTGAGGATGAACATGCCACTGGGAGAAACTTTAGGTCGACCCTCTGTATCGGGCGGCTAGTGAAGTAGGCGGTCGAGCTGAGTGA